AATTATAGCAGGAACAATCAGGCCCTTCAGCAGTACGAAGGCCCGTGATAGTCCAATAACTGGGGCGCTGGACCCGCTTTCTGACAATCTTAATACTCTGGACGCTGGACCCGGTTTCCAGCCATGGATAGAGAGATAGCTCGTACCTTTGTGTCTTTTGGTAGATTTCAATTGCCTATTTTTCTCCTTTTCTTCAGAAATAGCAAGACTGTTGATAGGAGCAATCGGACACTGGACCCGGTTTCCAGTTAGGGTGGGACCCCACAGGAAAGCGGCAAGGAAAAACTTTTCCAAGAGGCCGTTTCCGGGACCCCACAGCGGGCGGAAGATGGCCTGGAAGAACCGGGAAGTCTTCCAAAAGCAAGTATCCGGGACCCCACTACCCGCATTTCGTGCGGTGGAAGAGTCACGGATTCCGTTTCCACATGGTTCCATCCTTGGAAAAGTGGTCGCGGAGCGATTTTCGCCGCGAAAATGTGCCGATCGCAGAGGTCGAGGGGTGGCGAGTGCGGTCGACTTTACAAGGTTGGTTTTTAAAAACGGACCACCGACTGTCCGTTTTTTTCCGGCGGTCGGTCCTGGTCCACGCAGGTGTGGCGTCCCTCGCGTCGCACCGGGTCCTTGGGCCCATGGGCGCGGGTCCGTGCGCGCTTGGAAAAAAATGGGCGGGTGGTGGCCCCCCTATTCGAAATTTCGAATTCGAATCTGGAAGAGGCACCGCGCATAGACAGCCGACGTCCGCGTCGTGAATTCATGCACGGGCGAAGGACGGCCATTCACGTCTGCCATCGCACATGCAGGACACGGCGGGTGGCTGTTCGACTCGTCCAGCTCTGGATAGCGTTCGGCGACGGCTCCATGCAGGTCTTCCGCGGTCTTCTGCGCTGCACCACACCGTGGACGTCGATTTCCCGACGTGCACATGGGCGGGCGTGTGAGGTTGTGCGTGTGGCGAGGTTCTCAAACGTGGACTCGCTGCACTCCTCGGCGACCCATGTGGGTAGTGTGGTACGCACCTCCTTTCTGCAGAGGGTCCCCGCAGGGTGGGCAAACCGGGCGGCAGCTCCTGTGAGGAACGACGTCGGATGCTTCTTGCGTGCCACCCCTTTGACCTCCTTCCTTGGTGGCTGCGGAGCGTTGCTGCCTGGATCAGCCGACTTCCGTTGTGGTGTTTCATGTAACAGCGGGCAAGTGACCGTTCGTGAAGGTGCTGCACGACTACACCAACAGCTTGGGTGCGGGAGAGATCAGCCGGACGTGTGGTCGCCACATTCGTATGTGCAACCTGCAATTCATCCTCTTGCAGGTTACTGCGATCGAACTTGGGCCAGGCCGCCCGTGCGCAGTCCTTCGTGGACGAGCGTCGTTATCGTCGCCATTGAAAGTGAGAGCGGCTGCGTTTGTCTTCTTCGAACTGCGGTTTGGGGAGGTATCATCATTTCGTGTTTTTTTATTACCTTCCTGGTGGTTGTCGTCATCTGCGTGGCGAGTGGGGTGATCGCGTTCCGTGCGTGGCGGCAGTAGCATCGCATCGGCGTGGCGGCAGTAGCATCACATCTCCGACTTGCGTGACAGGCATGGACGGACGCGGATTCACAGCTCAGTTATATGGGGGTATGGCCCCCTCCTCTCAGTTCGACAATGCATCTCCTCGTGGAGATGACTGCACGCAAGCGCGGAAAGATGCAGCGCCATCTCCGCCGTCGTGGTGCTACATGACGCAAGATGGATTCACATGCACCCAACCCCAGGCTGGAGGCTCGCAATCTGTTTCCTGCAGTGCGAATGCCGGCGGCGGCACGCAGACCCCCACGAACCACGGCAGTCGAAGTTACACCGGCAGTGCGAGGCAGATGCCGACACCGATTGTACCGAGCACTGTGTTGGAGCGCCCATCCGCATTCGTCGGCACACGGGGAGTGACACCGGCAACCGAGGAGCGGATGTGGGGTGCTTCTCGACAGTCCCATCTCCACACATCTGAGCAGCGAACGGCGATGATGCCGCCTGTCTCCAACATGCCTCTTCCGAGGACGTTCAGCGGTGGGATCCGAGGCAGGTGATGTCCTTCGGTTCGGACGATCGTCCATCTGTCCACCAGCGGCTGTTGCCTGGCCACGGCGTGTTTCACAGGTCACCACCCGTGGTACGTGGTATGCAGGGTGCGGGCCGCCAGCCATCACCATTCAGAAACACGGAGGGTTATGGTGGGGGGGGAACGCAGTGCGTGGAGACAATCGGGACAGACAACAGCACCATGGCCGGGTGCTCGGCGGAGATGGAAGAGGAAAGTTGGGAGTTTGATGAGGAGGGCTCCGCGGCAGGTGCGGATCGTGAAACTGTCGACCTTGGGGACGAAGAAGAGCCGACAGCGGGAAGTGGAGATAGCACCCCTTCAGTGCGCACCGCGTCAGGTCACGTCAGGCCACCCGCACCTCAAAGGAAGAAGGGGGGGAAGGCGGCCGCCCCACCGAAGAAGAACAACCCCTGGACGCTGGAGGAGAGAGTGGCGCTGTCCAGGTTACATGGCGAGGACGATGCTCTGATGGCCGACACCGAAGGCGCCCACCAGTGCATGACGAGGGCGAGAAGATGGGAGTGGGTAGCAGCGCGGCTTGGAGAGGAGGGCTATTCAAGATCCGCGGAAGACTGCAGGAAGAAGTGGGCAGAGATGGTGAAGAAGGTGAGGGAGATCCGTGACGCGTGTGATGGTTCAGGGAAACCATCGTATTTTGACATCAGCACCGAAGAACGGYGGAAGTTGGGTGTGAGTCTGACATTCGAAAAACCGTTGTGGGATGCAATGGAATGGTACAGGGTGAAGTCGTCGGTGACATGTGATAACACTATGGCGTTAGAGGATCTGAGAGGGACTGGGTCGGCTGGCGGTAGCGAAGGAGGATCAGAAGGCGCAGGGACAAACTGCTCGGACGGCTCCGCTAAGAGGCAGCGCACTGGTGTTGGGAAGGGTCGTGGGACCGATTCCGGAGCTTCGATGCACGGCATGGCAGGGGCAATGGAGGATTCCACAAGGGCCGTTTGTGAAGGACTTGATAGGGCAGCTGGCACGCTAGCTCGCGCGGCAACTGACGGAGCTGCGATGATGGCCGCCCGTATAGGCGACGTGGCAACGGAGATCGGCTCGGTGGCTGGGGCGATGCGCGAAGGGAACTTTGTCCTCGAAAAATTGGTCGGGGTCATGGCGGCAAGGGCGGTGGGAAGTCAGGGGGGTTGACGCGGCCCGCCGGACATGGGACCGCCTTCTTTGTAGAACCGTCAGGCGGTCCCAGGTGATGTGCCTGTCTCCAGTGACGCAGAAAGGGGTTCCGATGGCCTGCGAGTGCACCCTGCGTGACAAAAAAAAAAAGAAAAAAAAAAGTCCACCCAGTCGGCGGTCTTCGGTCGATCACTATAAAAGGAAGCAGCGGTGCAATCATTCCAATGCGATCGGGCTGTGATGTCATGCGATGATGCGCGCGGAGGTGTGCGGGGACACACACACACACACACACACACACACACAGAGAGAGAGAGAGAGAGAGAGAGAGAGATGGCGGCCGAACTGGTATGGCGAAAGATCGTGCGTGGGGAGAGCGTGATGTGTTGGGAGCGTCGTCGGGAGCGAGATGGTTTCCTTCCTCGCGCGGTTCCTTTCGGTCCGAAGATCACACGGCGGTGCGTGCTCTTCTACTCGGTGGATGTAAACAGGAAGGCGGCGGTTGATGTCGACGCCGCGCTGGGGTATCGGAAGCGGCTGTTGTCCCATGTCCTTCTATGGGTGAAGAAGGTTGGGGACCATATCCCCAACGAATGGGCGGTGGTCGACATCGTTGGTGATATCGTGACGAATCTTATCAAGAATCTCGCCGTCGAGCACGACGGCAGGTTGGACATGGGCGCGTTTTACTACACGTTCATGGACCCGCCGCTGGTTGGGCGAGGGTACCTCCATGGCGAGATCCGACTTTAGGCAATGGCGGGGTGAGTACAGACGACGTGCATCAGCACGGGAGAAAGCGGTGGGGAAGATGAGGCACGTGTCGCAGCCACGAAGACGAAGGGCCTCTCAGTGTGGGGTGGACACGTCACCTCTTGTGTAGTTAGAGGATTGATTGGTACTGGTGGGGTTCTGTGATCGAAGCGCGTAGTGTGCTTTTAAGGCGGACAAACTGCCATGATGTGCGCTTGGGGTCGGTGGAGAGGATAACCCGGACGTGCGTGGTGTGGACACGTGGCCTGTTTTGTAGTCAGGCGGTTGATTAGTTTCCCGCGGGCTTTTCTGAGCGAAACGCCCAGTTTGTTTGGCTAAGTAGACCTGTCGTCATATGTTTGGTGTGAGTTGGAGGATACGATCAGGCGGAGGGTGTCGTGCGCAGTGGTTCCACGTGGCACAACATGTCGCGGCCACGTGTATGTCCATTCGATTTTTGCTTTCGGTCGGTGGTCGTTTTTTGGGGGTCGGTCGATTGATCCCGACGTTTTTAGGCGAAGTGGACGTAGGCCAGCAATTCGATAAGTCCTTGGCGGACGGCCATGTTTTTTGTGAAGTGCTTTGAGGATTCCTTAACATTGGCTGTGTTGGTTTCGCACGTCTTCCTACATTCTCTGTGTTTATTCATTTGCGGTGGAATCCTGTTCAGGTCAGTTGTGTTTGTATGTCCTTGCACAATTTGTCATTAATATATGATTTTGGAATTTTTTTTTTTTTTTGGCCTTGTGTGTCCGTACATCACTTCATGAACGCGTTTGTGTTCATACTTTCAGACGTGGGCGTGTCTGCCAGATCATCGCCCACACACACACACACACACACACACACACACACACACGCACACACACACACACACACACACACACGCTTGTGCGCGCGCGCGTGTCTGTGTGTGTGTGTGTGTGTGTGTGTGTGTGTGTGTGTGTGTGTGTGTGTGTGTGTGTGTGTGTGTGTGTGTGTGTGTGTGTGTGTGTGTG